GTATCCTTGAAGAAGAGGAAGAGGAGGAAAATGGTAAAGATACAAATTATGAACAACAAATATGCATCTATCAACAAGTGAATCTAAGAATCGAGTGAATAAATAATCTGATGAACAGAATGAACTGGTGATTATAATAGAATCAGGGACATAGAAAGGGAATGGACTGACTATTCTTGGGGGGGGAAAGGGGTGAGGGGGATGCGGGAAGAGACTGGACATAAATTGTACACCTATGGATGAGGACAGTGTGTGGGGAGTGAGGGAGGAGGGTAGGGTGGGAACTGGGTGGAGGGGAGTTATGGGGGGAAAAAGAGGAACAAATGTAATTATTTGAACAATAAAGTTTTAAAAAAAAGAAAAAAATGTGACAAGAATGAGAAGGCTGTACCTATGCCCATCTGTAAGGGCCAACATGGGGAAGAAAGTGGAGAAAAAGCTTTAAAAATAATCTAGTTAACTCTAGTAATATGTAGTGAAAAAAGGGAGAGAGGGGGAAATGGGCATTCATGGCAATAAAACCCAAAATGAGAGTGTCTTGATTGATAAGCAGGGAAGTAGCATAAAACCTGTGCATAAACAAGCCAATAACTGAGCTATGTTCTGGGAGAGAGACAGCAAATTAACAACTCTTAATAAATATTGGATGAAGTTGTCAGTGGGTAGAAGGGTGGGTTTCAGCAACAGTCAGTGCCAAAGTCAGGGAAGAGCTAATAATGGAAGAGCAAGAATCGTCCAGTACACTTAAATATTTGTGATCCACACCAGTGTGTCTTGACAAATTGGCTGGGGTGCAAATACCTAGAATTCTAAAGTCAAGGTCATCAGGGTTTAAATCCAATTGTAATGCAGAGTCAAGTGACAAAACCCATATGCAAACTTACATTCTGCAAACTTAGCTGGAGCTTTTGTTTGTAAGGGAGGAAATCCTGTGTGAGCTCCACAGTCAAGTTGTTGGAAATGAAGAGGCTATGGAGAAAGGCCAAGACCTAGGGAAAACATGTGAAAATATCTTTATCACCAGTGCCTTCTTATTGATCAAATAAAGAAAACAGAAGCCAGAAAAGAAATTCCACACAGTGTTTACACAGTATAGTGTTAAAATCAGTCATGGAAACACAAACATGTCTACACATAGCTATTGTCTTACCAGGATAAACATTTACACTGAAATCAGTTCCAGAAAATAAGGACTACTAACAAATTTATTCATTCAGATCCTTTTCAGATAGCACATAAAACCATTCAAAAAAAAAAAAAAAAAAAACAATAAAACCTGCCCTAGGTGATACACCTGTTCCACCATCAGGATCCCTGCATGCCAGATCCTGCATTTTGACCTTTTCAGAGAAAACAAAAGCAAAGGCCAAGCCTAGGGGTTTGAACAATCTCAGGAGCATCGGTGACTGGATTACAGGAGGGGCCACCCACCCCACTATGCAAGAACCAGACTGGTTACTATCCCTGCACAGGAGAGCTGATAAAAACTCCAGGTTTCCAGCCAACCCCGCTAGTCTCCATACAAGGATCTCTGCCTAGTCAAGGGCAGAGTAATAATTTGGGCCACTCACGGAGGAATAGCTCTGGGACTGAGAAACACACCTACCACATTCCCTGAAAACTAAACAGCACCTCCCCCATCTAGAGCCCTTTCAGAAACAGTTTTGAGTGATTAAGATTGACATCTGGATAGCAGGCAAAGGCAGGCAGAGGTGGAGCCCAGGGAACCAGGAAAAGTTTGCTGACTCAGCCCTACATCCTATGCTGCTAACAAACCTATTAGAGGGCAGATTGGCCCCTCCTGTATGCAGCCAAGGCCTATGGAGACAGACACAAATGGTGCATATGTGGATCACTTGGAGTTTCGAGCAGGTTGCTGAAAGCCAAAGTAAGTCAGTTCCTGACAGTGGTCAGCACCCAAGTACCTCACAGGAGCCCAGAATTGGCAGACAGAAGGGTGGGATCCAAAGAGAGCTCCCATGGGACACTAAATTTGGCTAAAACGAATGCCACTTCACTTTTTTTCCTCCCTTTTGTCTTCTCTTTTCTTTTTTCTTTCTTTTCTTTTTTCCCTTCTAAAATTTATCTTTATCTGCTTTATTGATTTGTTATTATTCTAGTCTCCATTTTTTTCCTTCATATATCTAATTTTCCTCTTCCCTTTTCCTATTCAACTTTTTTCTTTTTTTATTACTATTTTTTTTCTCTTTTCATTCTCTCTTTTCTTTTTCTCCTGATTTCTCATCTTATTTTTTCCTTGTTTTAGGTCAATCTGCATTTTCCACTAATGTACTTTTCAAATTGTTTCTTGTATTTTATTTTCATTTACCTCCCTCCTTTATTTTAAACCATTTTCTTTCCTCTATTACCCTAATTATTTATTCTTATTTTCTTTATTTCAGCTCTGCATCTACATATTCCATACTCCCTTTTTTGGTTGTTTTTTTGTTTGTTTGTTTGTGCTTTGTTTGTTTGCTTTGTTTTATTTTCTCCTCATAATTTTTCTTTCTTTTTTTCTATCATTATTGATCTCTTTTCTCTTATGCAATTCTCTATTTTCTGGCCATTGCTTTTGTTGGTGCTGTAAGGGTCTTGTGTGCATTTTTGTTTTATTTCTTCTGTTTTGTGTTTTGTTGTGTTATATTTTATTCTGTTCGGTCAGCATCTCCATGACAGCTCACAAGATGTGGTTGGGGTGAGCCACATAGCCAGCCAGCCTGATAGGAGACTCCATCCACGAACAGGATAATAACATTCAAGACCCAATTACAACATCAGAACCCAAATAACTCAAACAAGGGGAATTCCTAGAAGACCCAGCTCAGGAGATCTAAGAGACCACACCACTGGGTACCACAAAATATCTACTACATAAGACCACCCATACAATCTGGGAGGCACAGCAGTTTGATCTAACACATAGAAACAAAAACAAAGGAATAGCAAAAATGGGGAGACAAAGATATGAAAGAAAAGGAGAAATTGCCAGAAAATGAATTAAATGAAATGGAGGTAAATAATTTATCAGATAAAGAATTCAGAGTAATGGTGATAAGAGTGGTCAAACAATTCGGTTAGACCTACAAGCAACATAATGAGAACTATAAGGGTCTTAATGAGAGCTACACCAACATGAAAAAAGAGGTTGTAAAAATAAATAAGAATCAATTGGAAATGAGGAATGACATGGCTGAAATAAAGAACACCCTAGAAGGATTCAAGAGTAGACTAGAAGAAGCTGAGGACTGAATCAGCAAATGAGAAGATAAGGTAGAAAAAAACAACAAATCCATTCAGACCAACAAATGGGGAAAAAAGAATTTTAAAGCAAGAGGGACTCGTCTTATACGCCGGCAAATACGGTAATTTTGACTGCATGAAGACAGACTGTGTCTTTTCTCTCTAAATCCTAAGGATTAGCACAGAGTAGGTACTCAATAAATATTTGTTGAATAGGTAGCTAAATAGATAAATGAATAAAGTAAGCATCTGTACCTTTATGAAGACTGCCATAATGCTAAAGAATTCAAAGAGCCTAAACCCCAATTTGAAATTAGAAAAGTTTTGAGGGAGTTGCAGAAGACATGCAGTAAATAAAATATTTTAATGCCCAAAGTGCTCGACCCCATTAAAAATCAAATATATATATATAAATAAAAACAAAAAAAATATGAATTCAATCAAATATAAACATTTAAAAAATAATGATCAATGTTGGTAATAGTGAAGTATAATAAAAAGTACTAAAAATTGTTCTATAGTTTTTAGAAAGTAAACAGGTAAGAACACATAAAATGCACACACACCATCCTATCTAATAAAAGACAAAAATGGTAATTGGCGTACGACCAATACTCTTTTCATTGGCTAATCAGGGCTATATGCAAATTAACTGCCAACTAAGATTGGCAGTTAACTGCCAACAAGATGGAGGTTAATTTGCATATGTAGGCACAATGCAGGGAGGCGAAAGGGAAAGCAGGAAGAAGCCCCCTGCCACTGACAGTGAT